GAAGATGATCTTGAATAATTTGGAAATTGATCATGGAATAATATATCGCGAACTGAAAAGAAAATCATGGAAGAACTCCTCGAGTTATTCAAACTTACCAACCAAAAACAAGAACTACTGGAGGAAGAAATACAGAAATTGAACAAAATATGGAAGCTATTCTCCTACAAATAACATCACAACAAACCAGGGAACACAACTGCAATACAGAAACACTAATAGAACATTTCAAAACGCAGTTCGGATACCTGGAAAATATTAACAAGTTACACATCCAAGAGGAAGCGTACCGAATGAAAAAACAAAATCTCCAACTTTGGAACGACATGCTCAATCAAAAGAAAACTGGCATATTTCAATGCCATCAAAAAATAAAAAACAGCAAAAATATACAAAGCCTTCATAGAAATGGATGAAATATTTATTCCAAGGAAATTCCGCGAAAAGATTGACCCACAAGACACACGAAAAAAAAAAAAAAAAAACACACTAAGCCTAACAAAAATGCAGGCCCAAATTGAAATACAAGAAGACAAAACAGTAAACTTTACAAAGAAATACACAGAGATTGATAACAAATTATTAACAAAAATCAAGGAATTATGTACCAAAGAAACTCACCAATTCCTGTTTGAATTATGGGAGTCAAAATGTAAAAAAGAGGGTGAAATTATGCAAAACAAAGTATAATATTTTTTCTCAATAAATCCACATTACAACCAAAAACGTTTGCGGCACCCCTCTTCTTTTTAATATACATACTTTTCTCTCGTTGGAACCACTACAACATATTTCTTTTAAATATATATATATATATATATATATATATATATATATGATCTTAATTTCAATCTTTCATGAGCTTCCGATGCTTATCAATGATCAATTAATGATGAACATGTCATATTTTGTTTATGATCGATCCCATCAGGATTCTTCTGTTAAGTTTGGAGAGTAATTATACATTCTTATTGCTCAAAGTAGAGTCCAGTAGTATAATCCCTTTCAATGTCTTCCCATTTAATTTTAGTTCATATATTTTTCTTTCTGACTACACATATAATTTGATAATGTTTTGTTATTTTCGTATCTGTCTAGTTTAAAGGACATTTTATGATTATTAAATCTTTTTTTACATGTTGTTTCAGTTACTCCTATATGAGATTTTTTCTTCTTCCGTATTAATCTATTATTAATATTAGTATTAATCTATTATCTTCTGTATTTTTATTGATGATTTCTGATAGTTTAGTGTTTTTAACGAAGTGTTTTTCAATTAATTTAAATAAATATGCATAGTGCTAGAATTAATTGCAATTCTTTTATCAATAGAAATTGGTAGAAATTTGAAATAGAAATTGGTATATGCATTAGGTGGGTGATTTGAATTTTTATTTATATATATGGGATTATTATTTGCTTTCCTATATGGTTTGTATGTTTTATTCTAATTAATTAAATTTTATGTCTAGAAAATGTATTATTTTTAGATTAAATTTTAAGTCTATTGTACTTCTTAGTTTGTTATTTGTTAAATATTCCTATTATTTTTCTTATATTTTTGCTTTTCTACCGTTTCAATTTCTTACAATTATTAAGCCATAATCTCAATATGAATGTATATTCTTTTTATTAATGACATTTGATAAATTATGTATGATATTTATTCCTATACGTTCGCGTATATATTATGCCATTATAACTACCCATGGATATGTCAAAGTTCTCATTATTATTATTGCTATTATTATTGCTATTATTCCTTTTTAGCCATATTTTATTTTTGTAGTAAAATAATGATTTTCTACAATGCTTAATTACGTCTAATTCTTCGTCTTGAATTTTTATGTGTTGTACTGCTAAATTTAATCATTTATTTAATATATACTTTGTAATGGGTGGTCTTTTATCTCTATTTTTTATAAAAGAGCAATCGTTCTAGTTTGTAATATTGCTGAACTAATTAATAGCTTCTTTTGTATTTTCCATTGATTTATATTTAATAGCTTTTTTATTATTTTCTCAACTATTTGTTTACTTATTTTTCCTATATTTTGCCTAATGGAATAATCTACGTGTAGGTTTGTTTAGAAAATTATCCGTATTAACTTTTAATTTGATAAATGGTTCTACTTTCATTAATTGCTTAAATCTTTTATCTAATTTTATAATTTTTTATTTATATTATTTTCTGATTCTTGTTAGCGGTTTTGTAAAACTCATGTACCTCTTTTTGAATTAGTTTATTAAATTTGGTAGATTCCATTTCATAGAGTGTTCTTGATTTGTCTGCTTAAATAAATAGTTTATTTGATTTATTTATTGATTTGTTGTCATTTTATTTTATTGTTAGGTATATATATGTGTGTATATATATATATATATATATATATATTATTAACACATACATATATGTGTGTGTGTGTAAATGATAATATATATATATATATATATATATATATATATATATATATATATATATATATTGATTGAGTGTGTGCATATATGCACCTGTGTGCCTGTAAATTTACAATTACAGACGTAACCTGTAAATATCTACGAATATACATTCACGCTTGTATATAGATATACGCTTGACTGCACCCAGATACACGTGCAGACACGCTTGTGCACACGCACACTCACACACAAACACGCACACAGTCACACACAAACACAGTCGCACACTATCACATCCACCCACCCACCACACACACATGCACACACACACAAACACACACACACACACATATATATATATATATATATATATATATATATATATATATATATATATATATATATATATATATATGTGTGTGTGTGTGTGTGTGTGTGTGTGTGTGTGTGTTGACAGTGTTATTTTTTTGTTATTAGTTACCTTAATAAGACAAATTATATCCGGTGCTAATCTAGAAAGGATATCTTCCGTCGCGTAATTTGGTCCACAATATAAACAGTCGCCTTTTTTAATACTTTTTCCCCTCCGTCGTTTATCGCTTGTGTTTTTATAATAATTATTATTCTACCCCTCCCCCGTGATCTCTTATTATTTTTCTTTCCTCCTCACCCCCCACTTTTATCTCCCCCACCCCATTCTCTTGTCATATAACCATTTTGTTTCCAACCACCTGTCTGCCTGGTCTTATGACCTGTCACAACTTTTGAAGCCCCCAGCAAATTCTGTGACTTATTAAAACATAAAATCATTTTAGAAACGTTATTTATATCTTGGGGCATCGCTTATATTCCGGATGCAATTCTAATCGCAGAATAATTTTTTTATGATCGGAAAGAAAATTGTATCACTGATCAGGTTTAGAAAAACTAAGTTGTCGTGCAAAAATAAATTTGATGGTCGAAGTGTAAAAAGAAACACCGGTCAGGCTAAGAGTGTAATGAAAATAAATCACTTAATAATTCAAACTCCAGTGTCATCTATTTGATGGTTGAATACTAAAAAGAAATACCTATCAGGCTAAGACAATTTATGGTGCAAATACATGTCGCTGTTTTTTATTTATCATTATTTAATTTAAAAGTTAATATTCAACATCATTTATGTATCGTGTTCCTTCCAATTGTACGCGATTACAGCTTTCCACAATTTCCTGTCCTTGTAGCTCTAAGCAACATTTAACTTTTGGGCATAACTCTTTGTTCTTGATTTGCTATGCATTCACACAAACTCATTACTTAAATTAATCGTTGTTTTTCTTCTACTCGCCCTACCCACAATTCCTCCTGCGAGTTAAAAAGTTAAATGTTGCTTAGAGCTACAAGGACAAGAAATTGTGGAAAGCTGTAATCGCGTACAATTGGAAGGAACACGATACATAAATGATGTTGAATATTAACTTTTAAGTTAAATAATGATAAATAAAAAAACAGCGACATGTATTTGCACCATAAATTGTCTTAGCCTGATAGGTATTTCTTTTTAGTATTTTCCCAAACCTTCCTTCCCCATAATGCGTCTCAGATATTTTAACTGATTTTGTCTGATTTTAAGTATTAATTTTTCTATTTCTATTTTTTTTTAAATCTTGTATTTGCTCTAACAATATATGTATACAAAACATAATCTAAATTAACATCGCGTATTTTTAATAATTGTTTGTATCATGTGGTCGGCAATTAAGATTTTTCCCTTTTCCAATGTGGTGAGAAGAGTGGTTAGTAACCTTACAGGAGGAAAAAGAATTATCAAAATTCTTCTAACTGAATAAAACTGATCGTGGTAATGTCACAATAAAGCCACCGCGGAGAAAGCAAAGAGAAAACTACTCGACTATACTTACTAAGTATTTTTGTATACTTCTGTGATTTTTAGACTATTTGAAATCTTCAAACCCAAAAGAACAAATGGAAGAGAAGTAATATACAAGAAAGTGGATATTTTCGTAGTTAATAAATAGAAATTCAGTTGGAAAACAAAAGGTATGTAATCGCTGAAGTAACGAGTCAGATTCCTTTGTGTTGTCTACCTAAGTGTCTATTTTTACAAGAAGCAAAACTGAACCAGTGACAATTTTACAATATTTTTTCGCTTTGTTTTTCTGCGAGAAAACTGTTAAAAATCATCAAGCGGACAAATTATTAGCGGTCTGTTTGGAGACCTAGAAATATGGTTCAACAGGAGGATGCTGAGGATACCACGGACCGAATATGCGAGCAACGACGAAATTTGAGAAAAAATGCAAAAGGTGAACCTTATACTTAATATCAGCAAGAGACAATTGACACTTCAAGGGAACATAATGAGGAAAGAAGACTTGGAAAATCTGATACTCACTGGACAGATAGAAGGCAAGAGGGATAGAGGAAAACAACGCATAACCTACTTAGTGAGCTGGAGTAAATAGATGGCGGTGCAAGGATTAGGAGAAATAAAAAAAGAAAATTTATTAAGAGCTACAAATGACAGGAAATTGTAGAGAGCCATGATCGACTACTTTTTGAAGGGACACAGCACATAAAAAAAGAAAATCAACCCTTAGACCATTCATCGAACAAGATATCCTCTCTCTCTCTTTCTCTCTCTCTCTCTCTCTCTCTCTCTCTTTCTCTCTCTCTTTCTTTTTTGTTTATTGTGGGACCGACTCCCAAGAAGATGCTTCCACGATCATTACATTCTTAACGTGTTCAAGTCAAGGGTCAACCGTTATATTCCCCACATGTCCCCATAAACTCTGCTTGTTGGTCTCTGTCAGGTTATCTTGCCCAAGATACGCCGCTTCTGCTATAGCTGCAGTATATGCAGTGTCCTCACTACGACCTTAAGGAGTTACGAGACATGACGTGAAACCCGTCCCTCATTCTACCAACGCTAAAGCTTTCCTTAGGGGTATGTCGAACTGGGTAACATACTGGAATTCCGAAAAATAACAGGAAGTCTTCAACCGCAGCATCAGTAGCAGCAATCAAAACATAACGGCCAGCAGCAGCTTCAACCTAATCATCAAGCAAGTTAAAGTTAAGGCTCTTACTTTACAATAGCATATGATAAAAGTATATAAAAGCGTTGGTTTGGGAATTTGGTGACATAGATGAGGAGTCAAATCCCTGGGTTGGGCAGTGTGTACTTATCTCAGTGGAAACGAGCGAGAAATAACTGAACAGTACTAAAATAAAATAAGAACTAGATGATATGAGCACTGGCATAGGTTGTGACTTAAATCCCTGGGTTGGGCAGTTGGCAATTGCACTCATTAGAAACAGACAAAAAAAATGATTGACCAGTACTTATAATAAAATAAGAAATAGACGATATTTAGTTTAGCATTACCTTTAGGTTACCAAGATCGACATACATCTGATGAAGGCCGAAACGTTGTGATAACAAAAACAACGTTGAGGCCAACAGTCCTAATATAAATAGTGTAAAATTATGACAGTTCCTCATCCCAGAAATTCATCTATCTATCTATCTATCTATCTATCTATCTATCTATCTATCTATCTATCTCTCTGTCTCTGTCTCTGTCTCTCTCTCTCTCTCTCTATATATATATATATATATATATATATATATATATACATATATATATATATATATATATTTAAAAAAAAGGTATGGATTTTTTAGATTTATTAATCCGACAGATTTTCTT